ATTGGCGTTTGTGTGAAACGGATTGTACTGAGAAACAGAAATCTCATGTAAAACTAACAAGCATTATTATTAGTTACTTGAATCTTTCCATTGAAATGCGACTAATTAGAGTATTATCTTGATTTTATTGTAATTGAAAAAAACAGTCTGTTGAGACTGGTCATAAGGTTGATATCAAGTCAGTATTTGTAAAATTGTACAAAAGTCTTCAAGAGCGTATACTAAGGTTTATTGAAGCCTTAGTTATACGGAAACTGAAACTCTCTTTATGTGTTCAAAAATAATTTGTGTTTAAACTTAACCTACCTTGGTAATACTGATTTATTATCCAGTGTAGTTATCGCATTGTGTTTTTGTATTTTATTTTTATTTGTTACGGTTTACCTTTACTATGTCTAGTTGACCTTTTATTCTTTATGTAAAAATGTCTTAACAAGTATATAATGTGTGATCAGATTGTTCGAAATGTATGATTACCACAAGAGGTTTTTGTGGATATTATAGTAATTTCAATATTTGAGATCATGAGTCAATTAAAGCTAGACCACCATGGAAAATCCAGAAGCACTGGACGGTTGTCTCGTCCTAGTATGGGACTCCGCAGTAGTGCGCATCTCAGAGTTTATGTTCACTTCAAAAATCAAACAACACTCAGTGAATATAAATTTCACCTCATTTCACAAGCAGGTGGCTATCAGGGTTCAGTAGCTAAGTAGATAACGCAATGGCGTCTGAAGCAAATGGTACTGGGTTCAAGTTTCGGAGTGAACATCAACTCTGAGTTTCAGGTAAATCCAACTAACGAGTCCTGAATGAAACGAAAGGCGCACCTTGTATCCCATTGTTAGCCACTATCCATTTTTGCTTATAGTTTCATAGCCATTTATTTTCTATGTTATAAGCTTTAGTTTTACTGTTTCCAATGAGAAAATGTTGATGGAATATTGGCATGAAAAACTAAAAAACAAAAAAACAAAAAAAAAGAAAACACTAAACTATGTTCATCAGTTTACAAGGAATTCTAGTTTGAAACATACAAATAAGTAAGTAGGAAATGTAAACCGAAATCATAACACGTATAACCATTATTGAATGGTTATTCATGTAAATTTATTAATAATTTCTTTTTCTTTTCTTTTCTCTTTTTTTTGAATTTTATTCTAAATGATACACTGTTATAATGTATTCTACTTAACGAATATGAAGTTATGAAGTGAAACATTTATATTACATGCATATTTCAATTGTACATTTGTAAAAATGGATAACCATTATGCTTCTTGGTACATGTTTGAAACATGAAATAATATAAAATTATTGATTAGATGATAAGCGGTATAACTTTACACTCTAGTTTCGTCCTATTCAGTACTTCATAGATAGATATACTTGTATCCTAGTGGTATATATTGGAACTTAATCATGATAGAGTCTGTTTCAAACTCTAAAATGTTATCCATTTGTTTATTGAATCCAGAAATCTATTATTTTTGGTTCAATGTATATGATGATTATACTATCATTAGCAAGGATTTAAATGATTCTGTTATTAATATGTTTAACTAAACCTTAACCAAATTTTCTTAGTATATACACATTCTGTAAGGTTTGGCTCCTTATAGCATTTTATTGTAAGCTTTATTGATAAACAGATAGACTGTGAGTGGCAGTGAAATAGAAGAAAACGTTTTAACATTTGAAACAAATGATACTACTAGATTTAAGTCTTGATGTTGGATATTAACACTCTGATGCAGGTATATATAATAGAGATTTACTTAAACATGATGAAAAAATTATAGTTTGATTAAGGAATACTCATTTTAAATAAAAAGAATTTTAGGAAGAGGAAGTTTTAAGACGAGACTATAATTTATGAATGAACCAATCAGCTATAAGATAACAAGTTCCGGATTTTGGCTCGAAATTCACTCATTCATTCGGATAAATAGAGTTTTAGCATTATAGCTGATGTCAGTTCGTGATGAAAATCCTAAATCTAATTTGTAATCTTAATCATCAACTGTAAATCTTAATTCGAATTCCTCCTTTATTTGGTCCTGGTTATCAAGTAAACACTCTCAAGGTTAGTCTGGCGTCGCTCAAAGATCGTCCATTAATTATAGTCTTACCAGTTTTAGATAGAATACTGATAACTTATATTAATGATATATAAATGACTAGTCATGCTCTAAGTTATATTACATCCGAAAAGATATAACTGGTGAAGTTTTAATTTCCTGTTTACACATGATTTTTATATAGTGACGATTGCCAGTGATGGGCTGATCTTTTATCCCCATCTATAAACTACATTGATCATAGAAGACATCTGTAATGTACACTGTAGTTGAACAAGACATAATATCAAGACTGATTCGTGTATAGTTGATTGTTTTTAAGATAAATCCCAATGAAATCGAGTTTTATCAAGGATAAACATCAGTTGGAGAATCTTTTAAAATCCTGAAGCACTGGACGGCCGCGAAGTGGGATCGTAGATGCACACTTTTAATTTCCTCATTTGAGTTGAACAACTTAGTTGATTTTTGAAAATCTATGTGGGTAATATGAATTATAGTAGAGTTTCTCTTTCAGTAATGCGACTTCATATATTTTTGTTCAGTATGTATCTTCAGACAACCGTAGCGTTGTTGGTTTTCCATAATACAAAAAGCAACTATCTCTTGATTTTTTCCTGTGATAAAGTTATGTAATTTTCACAAAACAATGTCAGTTTTCCCGTTTAGTGGCCTTATATCGGACTCCAATTAGACTGTATGCTGATTGTAATCGAAATATACATTTCCGTTGCCCTCGTAAATCATCATCGACTTAGATCGTGTTAATGAATAACGGAATTAAATAAGTCAAATACGAGAATAAATTTTGAATACGTGTATTTCAGACAATTGTTAATCCAGACAAATGATCGGAAAAACAAAGCGGAAAAAAGAGAAGAGAGCGAAGCGAAATGACACTTGGCGGAAAAGGCTTGTAAGCCAACTCTATTTAGTCAAGAGTGAATCGATATTTATAGTCGAACAAAAATAAGTTACAGACACATAATAAATAGGTTAAGTAATTAGCACACATAGGATCATATAAAAAATAGTCAAAGTTAATAAGCGAATAAGTGACAGAGTAAAAATGTGGCCTGAGAAGAAGGAATTGATTGGTCTGTCCAGAGGTTAGAATAACCTAAGTAGGCTTGACACAGTAGCAGCCCCTAAACCCATACAAAAACCCAATTTCAGGATAAAGATTTTGACAAATAATTAAGAAAGATATAATTGAATAATAACAACGACAATGATTGATATTAATTAGTTTAACAGATAGTAAACAAAATGATAAGAAGTATTTTAGTCAAAAGCTTGTGTAACAAAATTTAAAAAGTTCAGTAAAATAAATTTTGAAACAGGAAACAATAAAGATTTGTGAAGATTGATGAATGTTATTAAGACCACGAACCAGTCTAAGTTAGATAACCGTTGTAGACCCTACCCAGCGGTCTGAATGCTAAAATCCCACTAGAAAACCAGACAATCATGGGATGAATTCTCCGTAGTCGTGTATGATTATTCTTTAGGAGTTCAATACCAAGGGAAAACAGTTGTTGAGTCTATTCTGATTTTCACTGATTGTCTAAATTAAGCTCCAATGCAGGCACAAAACTGTATATATATATATATATATATATATATATATATATATATATATATATATATATATATATATATATATATATATATATATATATATATATATATATATATATATAGTTGTATTCTGCTACATCGAGGTGGTGAAATACTCTATACATCCTGAAAAATGGTACAATCGTAAAAACAGTCAACTATTTGCTTTCCTAATAGTAGGTTCCATTTTTTGTCAATCTGTTGGCAATTAATAACAAAAGTTTCTTATTTGATGAGTAATTTATCATAAATAGCACAGACATATATTTGAACTGTATTTTTTATTAAAATCATCTAAGCTTCTATTTGTTTGCGAGAAATCCCATACTTATCTGACTCAGGAAGGGATAGGAGTGTCACATATTTCTTCTGGATACATAAAATAGGGTTAAAGGTTCGTATTCCTGTAGCTTCGTCTATCTGTTGGAAATGGGATCAAACCACATTGTGAAATGACAAAATTATTCGATAGATCATTCGAAATGATTCGGTTTATCTACCATATGCTCACTGTTAACTAGATGTACCGTGATAGAGATAAGTATCATCATTGTCTAACTCTTTTTATAACCAAGCTCACTCGTTCATTGTTTAAATCGCCTGGTAGCACATCTAATATAGCTATCCCCACAGGAGTAGGTAAATTTGTAAATGCACATTGAGTAGGAAAACTCAAGCAACAAATCTTTTTTTAAGTACTAAATTACTTACGCCTGTTACTCTTCGTGAAGGAGCATAGGCCGACCACCAGCATTCTCACTCGAACCCTGTCCCAATCAATAATTTTCAGTTCTTTCCGATTGTCATTCATCTTTTTCATATCCGACTCTATTTCCTGACGTAATGTGTTCTTTGGCCTTCCTCTTTTCCGCTTCCCTTCAGGATTCCAAGTTAGGGCTTGCCTCATGATGCAGTTTGATGATTTCCTCAATGTATGTTCTATCCATTTCCATTGTTTTTTCCTAATTCCCTCTTCAGCTGGAAGCTGGTTTGTTCTCTCCCATAGAAGTCGGTTGCTGATGGTTTCCTGCCAATGGATGTTGAGTATCTGGTGTAGATGACTATTTATAAATACTTGTACCTTTTTGATGATGGTTGTTGTAGTTCTTCAAGTTTCAGCTTTTTTTAAAGTAGATGTTCACGAATACTTATTTTTACCAATTCGGAGTGTCAACAACTGTGTTTAGGTAAACCCAAGTTTAGTTTGAGTATTACTGGCTAAATGTGTGTAATTGAGCTAATGATATTTTTTGCTGCTTCATTAATTCGATTTTCCGTTTATTTTAAAAAAAAATACAGGATGGTACATATCATTGCGGTTGTGATCCTGGATATGAACTTCAAGCAGATGGACATAGTTGTGAATTAAAATCTTCATGTGATTTAAAATGTCAAAACAATGGAAAATGTTTCGATGGAAAATGTGTATGTACATCAAATTTTGAAGGAGAATATTGTGAAAAAGATAAAAATGAATGTGATCAATCTATTTTTGAACATGGTTGTAGTCATGGATGCATTAATACTTATGGATCATACGAATGTATGTGCCCAAATGGATATAGAAGACTTGCCGATAAACGTACATGTGTTGTAAGTTTAAAAAGATATATTTTATCATTCTTTATATTTCTTAATTAAGTAAAACACAATACATCAATAATGAGATAGGCAACATCAAGATATATTTATGTGAAATGAAAATAACCGTTATTTTTCATTATTACATCACTTGGTAATTCAATGTTTTGTATTTCAAAATTCATAAATGTTTCCCCCTAATTTCATATGATAAATATATATGACAGATCATTCTCAGAAGGGCATTTTTGTGACTATTATAGTAATTTCAATATTTGAGATCATGAGTCAATTGAAGCTAGACTACCATGAAAAACTTGGAGGTACTGAACGGCCATTTCGTCTTATTAAAGGACTCCTCAGGAGTGCACATCCACGATCCCGCTCACGGGATCTACCCGTCGGGTAGAAACAGGTGTCTACCTTAGTACAATGGAAGATGGGCGCATAATTTCGTGGATTGGTTGAAGTTAGACATTAACACTATTGGATGCCGGCTTGGTGGTCTAGTAGGTTAAGCGTTCGCGCGCGAGACTGTAGGCCCTGGGTTGGAATTCCGCGAGCGGGAGCGTGGATGCGCACTTATGAGAAGTCCCACAATAGGAAGAAACGGCCTTCCAGTGCTTCCAGGTTTTCAATGATTGCCTAACATCAATCGGTTCATGACGTCAATCAAAAAAAGAAAGATTGTGATACTAGATCACGTAATGCGAATAATAACAATAGACTTAGTAAGTTAGCAACGTATTATAACGTGAATGTAGTAAGATAATTCAAATGTATCTGTTGTAATAATTGTATGTAATTAAAGGTCGTAGGTGTGCAAAATAAAGAGATATCGTGAGCATTTATGAATAAAATAATGAGAATATGAAATACAAGTAAAGGGAGAAATGCGGTGATAATAATAATTATTATTATTAAGGCCAAGGTAAAGATAAAGACAGATCTTACTTCTTTTGTATGTATAGTTCTGGCTTGAGCTCATGGATGATAAGAGCTTAGGCTATTTTTATAGGACGAATCGTATGTACAACCTTAAAATCAAACAGTGGATACGTAGAATAATTGCAGTCGTTTAGATGTTCAAGTATGGAACTTCTAATTGCTTGCCTCTTACCTTTGTTAAAACGCTGAGGCTTGTTCCCTTATCCGAATCGAAAGAGGGTGCTGGCTACAGCCAATATACCTTGCTTCACAAGAGCAGGTGAACTGGTAGATGCTAATGGAGGCGATCAGAAGCTTATCTTTTATGAATACAAAAAACAAGGTCCTTCGAGTGAACGTTGTTTGTAGTTTTGCTGCATAGAATGTTCTTCCATCAATGTAGTTAAACGATTTTTGATTACATCAGATGTTCAATCACCCTAAAATTCCAAACTTATATAAAAGTTCTTTTTTTGGAACGGAACAACCTGAATTCTTGTCACAACAACTTTTTTCCATATTCTTATCTATGAAAAGGTCTTGATAGCCACTTTTCATCAGAGGTTTCCTGAGGAACACGAATTCTTTGTCAATGTATTCTGTACCACATATACGATGTATTCGGTGACATAAAGAGTGAATAACATTTCTCTTTCTGTTTGAAGGAAACTTGAATTAATCTCTTAAAAATAAATTCTAAAGTTATTCTGCCATAATATCGTGCTTTTAAAAACTTATCTGGATAACTATGAAAACAGGACAACAAATTATCACTTATTCAGATAGTATAATTACAGAATGACAGTTATTTTGAACCAATTATACTTATAAATGAGTTGTAATGATTTTTTCTTATTTGAATTCATAAGTCATTTAAAGCTAGACAAATATGGGAAATCTAGAAGCACTGGATTGCCGTTTCGTCCTAGTATAGGTGTCCTCATCAGTCCGCATCCACGATGGATGCGTATATGGATTCTATATTATTAACACAACAAATATTGTGACTAATGTTGCACTAAAAGTAATTACTAATACTTACTTAAATAACCATAATATATCACAAGTAAATATTAGTTTATCATTCAAATCAGTTGAATATGGTAAGAACATAATGTAAAGTGTACTAAGATTTGTCAACCATTAAACATGTACAATAAATTCTGATCTAACAAAAATCGTTATAAATCAAATGTATTGATCCGTCGAATTACATTTTATCATGTTTTTCTTTAAGTGACATAAAAAAGAAGTGAGAAGAGTGACAGTCACATAATACAAGAGACTAAACAAACGGCACATTCAAGTTAACATACCCTATTACGTTATGTTATATTTTAATAGGATCATTAAAATTATGTAAATAAACATTTGTAACTAATAACTTATCTTTACGAGAAAAAAAGAAAAAAAGCAATCTTATATATGTTCTTCATTTGATAGTAACGTTTCAGCATAGATACGAAACGCTGAGACTTGTTAACTTTCAACATTGGGCTCAGCAACAAGTGGCCATAAATTATGTACAAGATCTAGAAAGAAAATATAAACACAATCAAAGATATGAAATAACTAAAAAGAAAGCGTGAATTACTGTATACATGGAAAAACTAAATCTATAAAAATAATATTCAGAGAGGGGTTTTGTGAATATTACAGTAATTTAATACTAATGGAGTTTTGTTCTCTCAGCTGGATGGTGTAGTCGTTGAGCATTTATCGTTCTTCTGAACGAAATTGTCACCACAAACTTCAGATAGGGGTGAAGTGTTCGAAGAACGATGAAAGCTAAACGACCAAACATCATTAAAACCATCCACCTGAATTACAAATCTTCTCCACCATCCCAGTAATTTAATAGTTGAATTCATGAGTCAATTGATGCTAGACCATCATGGAAAACTTCGAAGTACTGGATGGCCGTCTCGTCCTAGTATGAGATTCCTCAGTAGTGCGCATCCACGATCCCACCTCGCGAGATTGGAACTCGGGACCTATCAGTCTTGCACGAGAACGCCTAACCACTGAGCCGGTATCCTACGCTTCTAATGTCTAACTTCAACAATCGACGAAGTTGGGCCACCGTCTACCATTGTCATAACAATTATGTAAATGTTAAAGTTATCATAGACTATTTGTCCTGAAATAATAATATTCAATTAGTTTGCTGTAGTTCATAGGTAGATAAAAATGACTACAAGTCCTAATTATTCCTATTTTATTAAAATTTATCGTTAGTACTTATATTTTCTATTAACTACCATTCTGAACTTCTGGTATTCGGTTACATTAGTTGTTATAAGTTTGTTAGCACTTTTTCAAACATCTTATTTAAACTCCTGAATTGACTGATTCTTACTGTAATATTAAAACTAGTATTACGTGGTAACATAATCAGGCACTGTTGGTGAAATATTCAGGGCCTAATCAAGAAGTTTGCGCTAGCCATTCATTGAGTAGTAACCAATTTCATGATATCAAGGTTATATAAGATATGTGATTTATGTTTAGACTCCAACTAATTTTAACAAGTCATATCGAAGTTACTCTAAGATTTCATAATTCAAGTATCTGACCAGGTTGGTAAAGATGTTGTTAACTATTATTATTATTATTATATCGAGTAACAATAATTGTTCGTCTTATATGGAAACTAGCAAACATTATAATTTATTTATGGTAGTCTGTAGTATTCACTCATCATCTATTATATCATCTCCAGAAAAGAATAAAGCAATAGCATGATGGTGCTGCAGCTTTGAGTGGAATGTTAAGGCAATTCATATTTAGAAAAACAACAACGGCAAAGTATTTTCCTTATTTTTATCTATATCTCTGAAATATGAACTTTCTAAAAAGCCTAACCAGGAGTACTAGATTCATTGACTTCAAATGTATACTTAAAGAGAGAGGCCAAGTAAAGAATTACTAAGAAAGATACAGAATATTTACATTCAATTTTAGTTCCATGGCAAAAGTGAACTGTTAAATATTATATTGTTCTATGTGGCTGTTATTTTTGGAACATGGAAATAGTGTGACTGTAACAACCTCAGTTTAAACACTTAAGCAAATAGACTCTCATACCCACTCAACCATACATACTCGTTTATACAAATGTAAGGATATATATATATATATATATATATATATATATATATATATATATAATAGGAGAATTATTATGGACTAAAATAACACTGTCTGTCTGCTAAGTCAATCAAATCAAAAGCTTAATTAATGTAAGCATACATAAACTTGTGTGTGAATAAGATTACTTTAAACGTGAAAAAAAGGTTTATAACCCTTTAGATTTCAAGATAAGTACCAAGCATTGAATAATTTGAAATAGTCTCCAACATCCTATGAGAGAGAGCATACGTATCCGTGAATTTATAGTGCATATGTTTTTTGGACATTCCATGTGTATAAAGTACCAAGCATTTTCGGAGATTTTCCACTTCATTTACCGAACGAATACTAATTCTAAGCCTATAATTTTTAGTTGAAATTTCATTTCAAACTCTAACTTTATTTGCCGTTTTAATCCCCCAAGTTCGAACCCACTACACTCATATAAATTGCTTAAGACGACAAAGAAAACAATGAGATGATTAGTTGAAATTATGTTCCTAAATAAAACACTCACCTATAAATTGGACGGTAAACTTTCCGAAAATTGTAGGTAGAACAATTTTATTGAACGAGTAGATGGTGGTTGGAGGTAGCTGACAGGAAACCCTGGACCCGGGTTTCGTGCTACTTGGTACTCATCAGCATGGTGTACCTGTAATCTTAAGGGAACTGGCGCTCCGTGGCGGATTCGATCCCGTGTCACCCAGCAACATGGTCGATAGTATTCGATCTGCATTAATAAGGACTAGACACGCATGACATTGATCACCACCCAGTGATCAATCAATTGTAATTTTATTGAACGTTGAATAAAGGATATATAACCTCACAGTTCTCTTGTATAGTTATTGATGGACAACTTTCCAATATTATTTAATGCCTTAATTACAGTGACGTCAAATGTATTAACTCAATTATAACAAGATTTATCAATGATATAGTTGAACACAAATAAGATAACAGTAAAAATTGAAGTTGTATATGAATTGGAAACCTATGAGATAATATATTTGTTATAATAGAACATAAATACAGATAAACAATAGTGAAACATTTATAGTATACCGTGATTAAAACAGGCATTCACTATGTATATATAGAAAAGAAGAATGATTTTACATTAACTTGGTAACACATATTGAATACTTAAGAGAAAGAAACACATTACGTAATTCCTGTTACAAAATAATATTACACTTTTGTAAATTGTTTTTGAAGGATAGAATGAATTGATTTTATATGATGATATTTCAATCCGCCATAGACAAGATTTGAATTATAACAGATGTTTAAAACAAATCAAATGATTGATGATAATACTATTATTCATTACAATAGAATCGAATTTATTACAGTTGAGATTTAATAGCTTCATAGTATGCTCCTCCACAAGGAGTAACAGGCGTAAATAAATAAGTAAGTTAGTAAGTAGTATAAGTGAATGTGGACTTTTAATTGCTTATATGTAGATAATAAGAAAACAGTTATCGGTGTGTGTGTTAGCATGAAACAATTATCATTTGAGAAACTATTCATTGTTATTTCTGATTTCATTTATATCTGGCTTATGAAACTCGATTAAACCCTTTAAATTGTAATCAGAAAGGGGGTTTTGTGGAAATTATGGTAATTTAATAGTTAAATTCATGATTTGATTGAAGTCGGACTACCATTGGAAACCTTGAAGCACTGGACGGCCGTTTCGTCCTAGTATAGGACTCCTCAGCGGTGGGCATTCACGATCCCGCCTCGCGAAATTTGAACTTTTACTGTTTCGCGCGCGAATGCTTAACCTGTAGATTACTGAGTCGGCCGTTCAGTGCTTCCAGGTTTCCCATGGTGATCTAGCTTCAATTGATTCATGAATTCAACTATTAAATTACTATAATATCCACAAAACCCTTCTTTGAAAAAATATTTTTGCAAACGTAAAATATGAAAATAAAATACTATATTATAATTCATTTTTGTATTGATTTTTTGAATCTTTCCACTGATATTTAGGACTGTAATTGATTAGTCTCTTATCGTCATATGTGTATGATGTGCGAATAACATCGATATTGCCTTAAATCACGAGAATCATAAGCAGAGATGGGTGGTGACTAGCAGTGGAATCCAGGACGTACGTTTTATCTTATTTTAAGATTCATCAGCTCGATGTACCCGCATCTCAGAGTTGATGTTTACTCAGGGAATCAAACCCCATATCGTTCATTTCAAACGCACGTACTGGATTCCGTTGCCAGCCACTATACATCATTGATTATTATATTGTAATGTTTTTTGTAATAAGTTTACAAATTTAACTGAATTACATAGATAATGATGAGTGTTTTGTTTTTAAAGGTTTGAATGTTCCCAGTTTTGATGTTAAAATAGGAATTACAATTTTTCAGTTTTGGTATATATGGTTGCTGAACGTAATACCTCAGTATTTACATAAAGGTACATGTTTTTAAGTAAATTTATTCTAGTCCCGAAATAGGACGAAACTTAAGTTCTGAATTCTACTGATAGCCACTAACTAATTTTACATATATTACTAAAGTGGTTAAGCGCTCGCGTGCGAGACTGATAGATCTTGAGTCTCAATCTCGCGAGGTGGGATCGTGGATGTGCACTACTGAGAAGTCCTATACTAAGGCTAGATGGCCGTCCAGTATTTCGAAGTTTTTCATGATGGTCTAGCATCAATTGACTCATGAATTCAACTATTGAATTACGTACCTTTGTTTTAGTAAGTCTGAAAGAAATAGATACTGCCTTTTTGAGATGACAGGAAATGTTAATCAAAATGTATTTAATTTGTAATTCTTACTAATATAAATTTTCATCATTGATTAAAAAAAACTTGACCGATCACATATTATTGTAAATCAATTGATACTATTTCTTGTATCCAATTTGGCGACACCTATCCCTCTAATCAAATAGTATATTCTAATTTTATTCACTCTAGATTGGTATCTAAGATAAATCGTATTCTCACCGTTTTACAAGTATTTATCTAAACTTAATGAAATCATTTAGATATAAACTGAAGAACTGATATACTTAACATCATTTATGCATAACAGAATGAAAGGACGGAGAAATTCGATATCTGAGGTACATGACTGTAACTCAGTCACATATTATAAATAGTATGGTTCATTAACAATTGATTTAATCTGTTAAATTACAGAGTCAAAGTCTTTCATAGTTAAACCATCAAAATATAGCTTACTCAACATTAACAAATGAGTAATTCATGTTGCTTAATTAATTTATTCATTTTCCTATTGATCCTATGCTAAAATATTAGTGAGACTGTAATTTATGGACGACATTTTAGCAATGCTAAATTGACCTTGGCAGTATCCACCTGATAACTAGGACCAAATAAGGGTTATAAATTATAATTTACAGTTGATGATTAAAGTTAAGAACTAGATTTCGGTTTTTCATCACGAATTGATATCAGCTATGATATCAAAACTCTATCCACCCAAATAGATGAGTGAAAATCCGAAACCTGTTATCTTATACATGATCGAGTTCATTCATAAATGATAGTCTCATCAAAATATTTATAAAACTTGGAAGTTTTACTATTAAAGACTAATAATTGAATTCATGAGTCAATTGAAGCTAGACAACCATGGAAAACCTGGAAGCACTAGACAGTCGTTTCGTCTTAATATGGGACTCTTCAGCAGTGAG